TAATAATAATAATAATAATAATAATAATAATAATAATAATAATAATAAAAACAATAATAATACTATATTTTTTTAAGATTATTATTTATTCTTATTATGATTATTATCACTCTCGAAAATGCGGGTTAATATTTGCAGGAGAGAATAGAAAGGAAAGGGCACTCCTCAATGCATGACTTGGGGAACCGTCTTATGTCTTGTCACCCTCCCAGAGAGACTAAAAAGCCAAAAATAATGTGAGCTTAGCCTGACAAATTATTCTCATAAAATCTGCTGACTATTTACCAACATCTGTGCTACTTTTTTTTTTTTTTACTAAAACGATAAAACGTTAGTGGGTGAGGGACGTCGGCTACCATCACCACTTCTGAATCCGACCCAGGCTAGGAGTATCATAATGTTTAGATCCTGTGAAATATTGCCATAATACAAGAGTAGAGCAGCTAAGGAAAAAAATCGTGCACTTTTGGAAGTAAGCATAAAACTTCCCACAGTTATACCATGACACCTAAGGATCATTAAAAAAATAGACTCCAAAAAATAAGCCGCCATCTTGAAATTCAAAATGGCCGCCAAAATATTGGATTTTGATCAATAATCTTCATATCTACAGCACCTAGCACTGTCATTCAAAGGTCTTTACCTATGTTTTCAATATCAGGGAGTATTATGCAATCATCAGAAATTATGTCAGATGGCCGTCATATTTGATTTCAAGATGGCTGCCAAAATATTGTTATTTTTGTCATTATCTTCATATCTACAGTAACGTAACACAGACAATCACACCTTTAACCATGTTTTTAATAACAGAGAGTATCATGCAATCATCAGAAAATTATGTTAGAAGGCCGCCATATTGATTTCAAGATGGCTACCAATAAAAGTTTTTTTTTCAGTTGTATGAAAAAGTTTCTCGAACGTGTAGCCACTTACTATCTCGGTGTCGTATCAGTAGGTCATATCAGTACACCACAGAGTCCTATATGATAAAGGGATGTATATAATATATATATATATAGCCGTCGTACCGGGCTGGGTAATAAGAGAAAGGAAAGAGGGAAGAGGGAGTGAAAGAGAAAGAAAAGGAAGAGAAAAGGAAAGGAAAAAGGAAAAGAAAAGAGGAGAGAAAAATAAAGACAAGAATAAAAGGAAGATATCATAATGACCAGAACCACAACACCCTGCAACCTCTTCTCCACTTAACTCCTTTGATCTAAGCTGCCAGATGGCGTAGGCTAACCACCGGGGAACAAGGGGAAAATATCTATCTTTGGAATATCTTTCCCACCCCTTTATAAATGCCCTTTTCATCCCCTGAAAGTGCCTAAAAATCTCAAATTTCGGGCACTTCGCTCGCATTTCTTGTCAGAGTAGGCCAAAATCCTCTCAAAATTGCACGTTTTAGGGAGTTTTGATCAATTCCGACGAAATTAGAATTAAAAACACAAAAACTTTCTGCGTGCTTCGCGCGCATTTATTAAGGTTTTTTAGGGTTATACTTTTAAGTTATTTAAACACATAATAGTCCCAAACTCAAGAAAGATTAGATTTTAAGATAGGTCGTTTTAACCTAAAAGAAGGGACTCAATGTGTATTGATGGTGAAAGAATATGTTTGTAAATAAAACCATGATGAAAATGCTTATATTTAGTTTCAAACACACGTGTGTGGCCTATTATTATAAATAAGATAAGCCCTATGTCGTATTGTTTTCTATATGGGGAGGGGGTGAGGTGGGTATGATAAATTACTAACCGGGAAAATTATTACCTTTGCCCCCACTCACCCAAGACCCCTGTTACGCGCCTGATGTTACTTCATTATAATACCACTTATTAATAGGTCCATGATAATACAGGTATGACTTCTAGAGTATTCTTTGTCAACAGTACCGTATATCATTTGTTTGAAGAAATTTCCTGGTTGGGTTATCTGCGATGTACCAGGGGCCCCTAGTGGTAAATATGTATGGCACTCACCTAGACAGCAAGAATTCACATTTTAATTCCCGCCGCCAGGGACACATTTTCAAACAATTGATAAGGAACTTTTTTTTATTTGATAGGCTATTCTTGATACGATACTATCAACAATATAACAACAACATTACAACATTATCAATAATTAATTTGGCGACCATCTTAAAATCTAGTATGGCAGCAATCTTGAAAATCAATGGTGGCGTTCTGACATAATTTCTGATGGCTGCATGATACTCCTTGATATCGAAAACATGGTTAACGGTCTTTGATTGACAATGCTAGGTGTTGTAGATAAGATATTGACAAAAATAGCAATAATTTGGCGGCCATCTTGGAATCCAATATGGCGGCGCCATCTGACGTAAATTCCGATGATTGCATGACACTCCTTCATATTGAAAACATGGGTAATGATCTTCAGTTGGAGTGATATGTGCTGTAAATATGAATACATAAGCTAAAATTAATTATTTTGGCGGCCATATTGGATTTCAAGATGATGGCCATTATAGGCGTTATTTTTTCGGGGTCTATTTTTTTAATGATCTTTAGGTGTCATAGTATCACTGTAGGAAGTTTCATGCTTTCTTCCAGAAGTGCACGATTCTACCTGAAATTCAACCTTAGCCGCTCTACTACAAAGCCCAATATTGAATACTTACGTCTTTATTTAACACATAATAATTTTAGAACCTTTTCAAATGAAAGTCAACTTACAATTTAAATAAAGAACTGTGAGCAAAATAATTTTGATTATAATATTGACAAAGCAGGTAAGTTACTTGTAAAGAATATATTTCTCGGAGCAGCAATCTAAGAAGACAGTATTTCGCTTTCGTGATTTAAGTTTATAATTTTTCTGATTTTGTATTTGTAATGTTTATATAGGCCTACTGTTTCTTTTTTTTTTTTTTTTGGCAGAATGAATAAAATAATAAATAAAAATTAAAGTAAAAGCTGAATTATGTAGCACATTGATTTGCTAACCATCTCTGATTCAACGTCTCATGTTTAGAAGAAACACTCTGACAGCTACACTCGCCCTTCCACCCCCTCTCCTCTCCACCCTACCTCCTCAATCACATATCAACGCCCTTGCCTGTCTTTACTTCGAATGATTTGGTTATTCTTGTATATTTTTATCGTTTGTGAATTTAATAAATATTATGTTGTTTGGTACCACAACAAATCAACAATTTCCTGTAGCATTTGGTGTTGGATGTCAATTATTATTATTATTATTATTATTATTTTTAATCAATTATTCTTAACGAGTAAGACACTAAATCAGAGAGAGGCACTGTGAGTGTACAATGAAGCAGAGATCTTCGGTACTCGTTTCAATTCTCATTGCTGCTCCTTCTATTAGGTAGGGCATGCTGGAGGGTTTAAATGAACGTTGCAATAGCGCACAGCCTTTCAGATAAGACGTTTAATGCGTTAGTAGGCCTACCGCTGTCTCTTATACACATCTAGATGTGTATAAGAGACAGAGAGAAGGCTTAACTAGACAGTATAATGTATAGGCATTAGGGC